TTGCTGAAAGTTTAGTTTTTCAATAGCTTTTCTGAGGTAAGTTCAAAAATGTCTTAAAAAAATTTTTATTCGTAGATGTCGACATCCAGAAGTTACTTTTGACTTAATCTCTTCGAAAAAATCTTTGTACAGGATGATCAATAGGCTATGTTTTTACATTCAGCTTGTCGAAATCTATGGTCTGGATTTTTTTTGTTAATTTCACGCAACTTTTTCAAAAAACTTTCCAATACAAATCCAAATTGCAATGGAATTTTAGACATTATAAAAGCACGTTCAAAAATTACTTAAAGAGATTTGTTTGGAAATTTCGATATCCAGAAATCATTTTCCACTTCATTCTTCGAAAACTGCTACCATTTCTGCAGAATCGCCAATATGAAACACGGATTTTTTTTTTGGTTTTCAAAAAATCAAAATTTCCAACCGAATATTTTGAAAATCTCTCAAAATTTTTTGTGAATTCTTAGATAACAATGAAAAAATAATCATTTTAAAAATCGAACAAGTGCTAAGCAAGCATTTTGACCTTCTTATTTTCTCGAGCCTTAGTTCTGCACTACTGATGGAGAAAAAGTTAAATAGATACTCTAGAATGTCAGAATATGTTTCGGTAATTAGATACAGCGATTATTTTTAGGTCAGTGTGCCGAAAATCACAATTTTGCATCAACTGTAATTATTACAGTAGGAATCTTGTAATGTAATTTAGGTTAATAAACGCTGAACTGTATTACCTTTGACTGCTGTTTGAGTTGGAATTTGATAAAGGGCACAGAGCTAATTAACGTTCCATTGTAATATGAACATTATTACCACAATTATTGTTTGTTCAAAAAAACGCGTTAGCAGCTTTCGCTGTTTGAACGGAATCTATTAAAATGCCAATATCTTTTTCTTTCTTTAGCATATCAATCACTTGCCAATAAAGTGAAGAGATGAGTATCAATAAGCGAATTTCATCAATTCAGCAACCACCTGCCTGCTGTTTCATCGATCAATGGAGTGAGCGAAATGAGACAGGACTGCAACACGAAAAACCTCTTTATTATTTGCGCTGTAATTTATGAAATGGATGTGGTTTTCGCTTTATGAAACGGTATTCGATATCATGTTAAGCGCCATTCCCGCTTTTTAATATCGCGCTCGTTCGCAACTTCATCGACGAAAAAACGGTCACACAATTTGCCCTAATTTAACATGCACTTGTCAAATATACTGAACAAACAAGCTCAACCCTTCATCTCTTTATAACCGCTCGAATGCAAAGTTTGTGTGATCCATCTCCATTTCCTACGCCATCCTCATGACAAACTGGTTACTTCAACATGGAGTAAGTTGTTGCGCATCTGCGATTTGTTTGCTTGTTAATTTAATCGTCTTTTAGCAGAAATGGAATTTTGGGTTAGCGTAAACAGGGGTTCGAGATGAAAGTGCAAGGAGTAGATAAATACGTGCCTTAATTACGGAGATGTGACAGGGAGCCGAAAAATCGGGGCGCGAGTCAAACGACGACGAAGGGGTAAAAATAAAAAATATTTTTCTGCATTTTTTTGAACATGGTTTGGAAAACAAGAATAAAAAGATGTTGTGTGAAAATCTAAGAAAATCAAAAAGAGAAAACAATAATAATAATAATGGAATTCTTTAACAGATTTTATTCAAACTTCTACAGATACAGCATATTTAACTGCTTCCAAGAGATACTAATTCTACTCACAACTCTCAAACTTCTACTTCAAACTAGAACTGGTGTACTTGGTCACCGCCTTGGTGCCTTCAGAAACCGCGTGCTTCGCCAGCTCCCCGGGCAGAAGAAGCCTCACGGCAGTCTGAATCTCCCTAGATAATTAATAAATTGCAATAGGATTCCAATCGAAAAATGTCAAAGAGTATCATATTCTGGCTTTCTAGAAAGAGGTCGTATGTTTTTATTTCCCAAAAATTCCCCAAAAAGTATGGAATTTTGTCATGCTGATTCCAAAAACATATTATGTTGATGTTGCCGGTGCGATATTTAATTGTATTCGGTTTGAATTTTTTTTTTGTCAAAAATTTGCATATTTCAGTTAGCGATTTTGGAAAAATAGTAGAAACTATTGAAGAGTTGAATTCGAAACTAATTTCCGAGGTCGAAATCTATCAGAAAATGACTTAGTTAAATTTCGAAAATTGTCCAAAAATAGTCAAAATTTTGGTTTTAAAAAGTTGCCAAAAAATTCCCAAAAAATTGTAGAATATAAAGTTAGTTGTGCTGACTTCAAAAACATAGCGTATTTATGCTCCAGGTGCAACATTTAAAAATATTGGATACGAAAATATATTTTTTTAATCCAAAAAGTTGTGATACATATTTCAACGAGTGATTCTGGAAAAAGGATAGGAGCTATTGATGAAATGGGTCAAAAACTTACTTCGGGAGGTCGAATTATATAAGAAAACGTCTTTAGTTAAATTTCGAAAATTGTCCAAATTTGGGCGAAATTTTCATAGGTATTGAAAAATTTTGATTTTAAAAAAGTTTCCGAAAATTTCCCAAAAATTTCTAGATTGTAGATTTAGTTGTGCTGATTCCAAAAACATAGCATGTTTATGCTCCAGGCGCAACGTTTAAAATTTTTCGAATTGAAAATATATTTTTTTAAATCAAAATGTAATATTTCATTGGAGGATTCTGGAAAAAAGATAGGAGATATTGATAGAATGGGTCAAACGTTTACTTCTGGTGGTCGAAATCTATAAGAATACGTCTTTAGTTAAATTTCGAAAATTGTCCAAAATTGGCCGAAAGTTTTGAAAAATTTTTGTTTTGAAAAAGTTGCCAAAAAATTTCCAAAAAATTCTAGAATAGTGATTTAGTTGTGCTGATTCCAAAAACATAATGTGTTTATGCTCCAGGTGCCACATTGAAAAATATTCGCTTTGAAAATATATTTTTTTTAATCCAAAAAATTGTAATATGAATTTCAATGGATGATTCTGAAAAAATGGTAGGAGTTATTGGAAAAATGGGTCAGAAACTTACTTTTGGATGCCGAAATCTATAACAAAAGGTGTTTAGTTAAATTGAATAAGTGACCGAAATTGTCATAGGTTTTGAAAAATTTTGATTTTGAGAAAGCTGACAAAAAATTCTAAAAAAATTCTGGAATATAGATTTCATTGTGTTGAATACAAAAACGCGCTGTGTTTATGCTTCAGGTGGAACTTCTAATAAAACTTTCTATTTGAAAATTTTTTTTTTTCATCCAGGAAATTGTAATATTTCAGTGAGCGTTTCTAGAAAAATGGTAGGAACTATGGAAGTGATGAGTGCGAAACTAACTTCTGGAGGTGGAAATCTTTAAGAAAATGTCTTTAGTTAAATTTCGAAAATTTTCATAGGTTTTGAAAAATTTTGAATTTGAAAAAGTTGCCAACAAATTCGTAAAAAATTCTGTGATATAAATTTCCTTGTGGTGATTCAAAAAACATGGCGCGTCTATGCTTCAGGCGCAACATTTAAAAAGATTCGATTTGATAATTTACTTCGTTTCTAATCCAAAATATTGTAATATTTCAATGAATGATTCCGAAAAAATGGTAGGAGTTATTGGAAAAATGGGTCAGAAACTTACTTTTGGAAGCCAAAATCCTATAACAAAATGTGTTTAGTTAAATTGAATAAGTGACCGAAATTTTCATAGGTATTGAAAAATCTTGATTTTGAAAAAGCTGACAAAAAATTCTCAAAAAATTCTGGAATATAGATTTCATTGTGTTGATTACGAAAACGTGGCGTGTTTATGCTCCAGGTGCAATTTCTAAAAATTGAAAATTGTTTTTTTTTTATCGAGGAAATTGTAATATTTCAGTGGGCGATTCTAGGAAAATGGTAGGAACTATTGAAGAGATGAGTGCGAAACTAACTTCTGGAGCTAGAAATCTTTAAGAAAATGTCTTTAGTTATATTTCGAAAATTGTCCAAAATTGGACGAAATTTTCATAGGTTTTGAAAAATTTTGATTTTAAAAAAGTTGCCAAAAATTCCCCAAAAATTCTGTGACATAAATTTCGTTGTGGTGGTTCCAAAAACATTGCGCGCCTGTGCTCCAGGCGCAACATTTAAAAACATTCAATTTGAAAATTTATTTTTTTTTAATCCAAAATATTGTAATATTTCTATGAATAATTCTGAAAAAATGGTAGGAGTTATTGGAAAAGTGGGTCAGAAACTTACTTTTGGATGCCGAAATCTATAACAAAAGGTGTTTAGTTAAATTGAATAAGTGACCGAAATTTTCGTAGGTATTGAAGAATTTTTATTTTGAAAAAGCTGACAAAAAATTCTCAAAAAATTCTGGAATATAGATTTCATTGTGTTGATTACAAGAATGTGGCGTGTTTATGCTCCAGGTGCAACTTCTAAAAATATCCTATTTGTAAATATTTTTTTTGCATCCATTAGTATTTCAGTTGGCGTTCCTAGAAAATTGGTAGGAACTATTGAAGAGATGAGTGCAAAACTAACTTCTGGAGGTGGAAATCTTTAAGAAAATGTCTTTAGTTAAATTTCAAAAATTGGCCAAAATTGCCCAAAATTTTCATAGCTCTTGAAAAATTTTGATTTTGAAAAAGTTGCCAAAAAATTCCCAAAAAATTCTGAGATACAAATTTCGTTGTGGTTGATCCAAAAACATAGCACGCCTGTGATCCAGGCGCTACATTTAAAAACATTCGATTTGAAAAATTTTTTTTTTTAATCCAAAATATTGTAATATTTCAATGAATGATTCTGAAAAAATGATAGGAGTTATTGAAATCTATAACAAAATGTGTTTAGTTAAATTGCCTAAAAGTGACCGAAATTTTCATTGGTACTGAAAAATTTTATTTTTCTGCATTTTTTTGAACATGGTTTGTAAAACAAGACTAAAACGATGTTGTGTGAAAATCTAAGAAAATCAAAAAGAGAAAACAATAATAATAATAATAATAACAATGGAATTCTTTAACAGATTTTATTCAAACTTCTACAGATACAGCATATTTAACTACTTCCAAGAGATACTAATTCTACTCACAACTCTCAAACTTCTACTTCAAACTAGAACTCGTGTACTTAGTCACCGCCTTGGTGCCTTCTGAGACCGCGTGCTTCGCCAGCTCCCCGGGCAGAAGGAGCCTCACGGCAGTCTGGATCTCCCTGCTGGTGATGGTGGAGCGCTTGTTGTACTGGGCCAAGTGCGAGGCTTCGGCTGCTATGCGTTCAAAAACGTCGTTGACGTAGCTGTTCATGATGTTCATGGCCTTGCTGGAAATGCCGGTGTCAGGGTGGACTTGCTTCAGGACCTTGTAGATGTAGATGGCGTAGCTTTCCTTCCTCCTCTTCTTCTTCTTTTTGTCGGTTTTCGAGATGTTCTTCTGGGCTTTGCCGATTTTTCGGCCGGTTTTTTCACCGATTTTTGACGACATTGACGTACGAGTGGATTGGAAAATTTATGAAAGTAAACAAGTTTGTTTTCAAGCCTGCTTTGTTTATGTTCTGGAGCTATTTTCGGTTATAAGAAGGGTAATGTTGGGGTAATTTGTTTTTATGAAGGTGAAGTGCAAAAGTTTTGACATTAACATATTTATGAACTCAGTTTGGAGTAAATTAGAGGGAATAAATTTAGTAGAAAATTAATAATGTGTTTTTGGGGAATTTTATTTTGTAAGCTTTTCCAGTTTTTGTACCAACTTTTTTTTATAACATATATTTTTGTTATTAGTTTAAATCTGCACGGTGTAGTTAATTTTCACTATGATGAAATTATTTTCTTAGACGAATTATTTTGTGAATAAAATCCTGTAATTTTCATAAATTTTAGATGCATATATTTTTTTTATGAGTTTACACTTGTTATAATTTATTATTTTTACTTTCCGAGCCGAAGCTCGCGTCCATCGGACGAATTAATACTAATATATTAATAATGAAAAAATTTGAAAACGCAATAATTGAAAAATTGGAACATTTGAAAAATTATTATCACATATTTTTTATTTAAAAAGTAAACTTAAAAAAATTGCGAATCACAAATTGAAGAAACGAAAAATTGAAAAATTGAAAACTGAAGAATCTGAAATTGAAAAAAAAAAACAAAAATTAAAAAATCTAAAAGTTGAAAAATAGAAAATTGAGAACCGAAATATTGCAATTCACGAAATTGAAAAATCCAAATATTGAAAAATTTCACATTGTAAAAAAGACAAGTTATAAAATTAGAACATAGAAAAACGAAAAAATTGAAAAGAAAAATTTGCAAATCGAAAAGAAAAATTGGAAAATCTAAAAGTTGAAAAATTGAAAATGGAAAAATTCAAAACATGTTTAAACGAAAAATTGAAATTAAAAACATTAAATCGGAATATTGAAAAATCGAAAAATTGTAAAAAATCCAAAATCGTAAAATTCAAAAATGAGAAATTTTAAAAATTATTTTTACACATTTAAAATGAAAATTATAAAAATTGCAAATCACAAATTAAAGAAACGAAAAATTAAAAAAACTGGAAGTTGAAAAATGGAAAAACTGCAATTAAATAAAATTGAAGAATTCGAAAATTTAAAATTCCAAATTGAAAAAACAAAATTCATAAAGTCAAAACGTTGAAAAATCGAAAAATTGAATAAAAAATGGAAACAAAAACTTTCAAATCGAAAAGTTGAAAAAACAAAAAATACTAAAAGTAAAGAATTTAAAAAAACCGAAATGAAAAATTGCAAACCGAAAATTAGATGAAATGAAAAATTGAAGAAACGAAAACTTAAAAAATCTAAAAGTTTAAAAATCGAAAAATTGAGGACTGAAAAATTGAAATTAAAAAAATTAAAAAATTTCTTCTTGAAAAAAAGAAAAATCCTAAAATTAAAACATTGACAAACCGAAAAATTGAATAAAAAATGGAAACGAAAACTTTCAAATCGAAAAATTTAAAAAACAAAAAATAGTAAAAGTAAAAAATTTAAAAAAACCGAAATGAAAAATTGCAAATCGAAAATTAGATGAAATGAAACATTGTAGAAACGAAAAATTGAGAAATTACAACTGGAAAAATGCAAGACATGTTTAAACGAAAAATTTAAATTGAAAACAAAAATTAAATCGGAATATTGAAAAATCCAAAAATTTTTAAAATTCAGAAATCGCAAAATTGTAAAGTGACAAATTTTAAAAATTATCATTAGAAAAATTGCAAATCACCAATTAAAGAAACGAAAACTTAAAAAATCTAAAAGTGTAAAAATCGAAAAATTAACAACTGAAAAATTGAAATTAAAAAAATTGAAGAATTTCATATTGAGGAAAAGAAAAATCCTAAAATTAAAACATTGACAAACCAAAAAATTGAATAAAAAATCGAAGCTAAAACTTCGAAATCGAAAAATTGAAGAAACGAAAAACTGAAAAAAGTGAAATTGGAAAAACAAATAATTGTAAAAGTAAAGAAAATAAAAACACCGAAACAAAAGATTGCAAATCGAAAATTAGAGGAAATAAAAAATTTAAGAATTACAACTGGAAAAATGCAAAACATGTTTAAACGAAAAATTGAAATTAAAAAAAGAAAAAATATTAATTCGGTAGTTTATTCAATTTTTCAAATTTTCAATCTTTGGTTCTTCTGTTCCTCAATTTTCCAATTTTAAAATTTTTCAGTTTTGCAATTTTTGGAGTTCCAGTAATTATCCAATTTTCCGATTTCTTTAATTTTCAGTGTTTCTATTTTGCAATATATATTTCGTTTTCGATTTTTAGTTTCCCCAATTTTTCAAGTTCTTCGTTTTTATTTTTGATTTTCCCGATTTTTTATTTTCATTTTCTCGATTTTATATCACAATTTTTCGTTTTTTCATGTCCTTTTCTTTTTTCAATTCTTTTTTCGATTTTAGGGTTTTTTGTTTATTCATTTTTTTTAATTTTCAATCTCTAATTTTTCCAGTCCCCGACTTTCCAATTTTTTTAATTTTTCAAGTTTGCAATTTTTTTGTTTCCCAATTATCCGACTTTCCGATTTCTTGAATTTTCAATGTTTCGAATTTACAATGTACATATCTTTAATTTTTTTGATTTTGGACTTTTAAATTCTAAAGTTTTTAATTTTTAATCTTTCGATTTTTCTTTAATTTTTCAACTTCTTGATTGCAAATTTCTAAATTTTTCAAAGTTTTCGTTTTATACTTTAACGTTTTTACTTTTTCGATTTTTGATTTTCAAAAATTTTTTGATTCGAAAAGTTAAAAATCGAAAAACCGGAAAAAATGGAAAAACCGAAAAATTGAAAAAACAAAAAACAGCAAAATCGAAAAAGTGGGAAATCGAAAACAATTAATAAATAGAAAACTTGGAAATAAAAAGAAACGAATCGAACCGAAAAATTGGAAATCTCAAAAATTGTAAAATCGGGGAATAACAGAATCGTCAAAATTGTAAAATCTGGAAACTAAAACATTGGAAGACCGAAAATTTGAACAATCAAATTTCGAGAAATTAAAAAATAAAATATCGAAAAATTGAAAAATCGAATAAACGCAAAGGATTTAAAAGACAATAATTGAAAACTCAAGAAATTTTAAAATCGTAAAATCGAAAAAGTAAAAAACTTTAAAATTGTAATAAAATGAAAACTAGAAAAATTCCAAATTAGAAACTGAAGAAACGAAAAATTTAATAATCATGAAATTGAAAAAATAGAAATTTGAAAAAATGAAAAATTAAAAAAACTAAAAGTTAAAAAATCGAAAATTTGAAAACCGAAAAATTGCAAATTGATAAATTGAAAAATCCAAAAAATGAAAAATTTCACATTGAAAAACAGAAAAATTATACAATCAGAACAATGAAAAACCGAAAAATTAAAAAAAATAAAGAAAATGAAAAACCGAAAAGAAAATTTACATATCGAAAAATACGAGACCTGAAAAATTGAAAAATTGAAAAATTAAAAAAATTGAAAACTCTTGAAATCGCAAATCGAAAAATTGCAAAACCTGAAAATTAAATGTTGGAAAATCGACAAACTAAAAATTTAAAAACGGAAGCTCGAAGAGTTACATGTCGTAAAATTGTAGAAATAAAAAAACGAAAAATTGAAAAATTGCGAATCAAAAAACTGAAGAAACGAAAAATTTAAACAGGGAAAAACTAAAACCCGAGAAATTTATAAATTGAAGAAAAGTAATGAACCGAAAAATTGGACACAAGAAAAAACGGACGAATAATTGGAAAATCTAAATTTGTAAAATCGAAAAATTATGGAATCGTCAAAATTGTGAAGTCGAAAAAAAAACTGCAACACTGAAAAATCGAGAAAATGAAAAAGTACATATCGACAAATAAAATCAAATAAGTGAAAAAGCTTTGAAAGCCAAATACATAAAACTAGGCAAACTGCAAATAAAAAATTCAAAAAATAAAAAATAAAAAAAAATCATGAAACAAAAATATAAAATTGAAAAAACGAAAAATTCAAAAATTTCACTTAAAAAAAATAAAATGAAAACCCGAAAAGTTGCATATCGTAGAACTAATAAATGACAAAAATTGAGAAAATTGAAACAACAAAAAATTATAAACCGGAACATCGAAAAATCGTAAGAATAAATATAATAACAAACCGAAACGAACAACCGCAAATCGACAAACTGAAAACAAAAGAATAAAAACTAGAGACACTCAAATCAAAAATTGCAAAATCTAAAAATTGAACTCAAATTGAAACATTCAAAAGTTGGGAAATTGAAAAATGATTTTTTTTTAAATATTTTTTCAAAAAGCGAGATTTGTTGGGCTGCATTTCATGGGCGAGGAAAGTTCTGTCGAAACAAGCTTCGACCATTTTTTTATTGCTATAAAAAATGATCCAAACATATTATTTTAATTTTCAATAACTTGCTATTCAAAATGTAAAAAATAAAAAAAAAACCTACGAAATCTGAACTCTCGGCTTCTGATAATTCTCGAGAAACATTTTTTGTTAGAATTTTTTCCATAAAACGGCGTACGAGTAAACATGACTGATAGTTTGCTACATTTTTAAATAAAAAATCGGCTGAAAACACCTAGGCTGTCGACAGACCCCAAACAGGGTCGTACACTCTCTTGTAGTTGTAGTTAGAGGAATCTCTAAGTATTTTTTTTTAATAAAACTTTAAAATTTTTATACATTTCTTAGCGTTAATCAACATTTCTCATAGACTGACTCTTTACCAGGGTTGTTCAAAATGACAAAGTTCAAATACATTTTTATACCAGCAAACTGAAAATGTCTATATACTTTAATGGCTCCATGCCATCTTCTCGACTAGAATAGACGACAGCGTAACTGTTGAAGCCAGCTGAAATCGTGCACAAGGGACTTAAATTTCCACAATAAATATTAAAAGCGACTTAGCTACGTGATAGCACGCTGTTGATAAATATTTATATCAGACTTGTTCCATAATTTACGAACA